CACATCTGCCTCCCGGGTTCAAGGGATTCTCCTGCCTCAGCCTCCCAAGTAGCTGGGACTACATGTCCACGCCACCACGCCTGGCTAATTTTTTTATTTTTAGTAGAGACAGGGTTTCACCAAGTTGAGCAGGATGTTTTCAATCTCTTGTCCTCAGGGGATCTGCCCGCCTCGGCCTCCCAAAGTGCTGCGTTTACAGGCGTGAGCCACCGTACCCGGCCTAGACTGGCTTACTTTACATTGAACCCGTACAGAAGTCTTGTGATGGATGCCAGGTCCCACTAGCAATGCAGAAACAGGTTTCACTGGCCAGGGGCAGTGGCTCATGCCTGTAATCCTAACACTTTGGGAGGCTGAGGCGGGCGGACTGCCTGAGCTCAGGAGTTCAAGACCCAGCATGGGCAACATGGCAAAACCCCATGTCTACCGAAAATACAAAAAATTAGCCAGGTGTGGTGGCATGTGCCTATAGTCAGGAGGCTGATTCTAGAGAATGGTCTGAACCCAGGGGATGGAGGTTGCAGTGAGCCGAGACCACGCCACTGCATTCCAGCCTGGACGACAGAGCGAGACTCTCTCAAAAGAATAAAGAAACATGTTCCACTAGCATAGTTTGCCCTAGACGACAGAGCTTGGAGGTGCATGAGTCGAGACTCAAGAACTGGAAATTTGTGCTTCCTGAGCACAAGGCAGATTCCATGTACAAGCTGGAGGCTGAAGGCAGCAGCTGGGTGTGATCTTAAGCCCAGTTGAAGCCCTGACCTGGCCTCCCCCTCAGACTGGCACTTGGTAAAGGGATCACTTTTTTCATGGCAGGAACACTTGGGACCTCACTTTGGAAGTCATCAACTTGGTGGCCTGTCTGGGCCAAACCACCTTCAGAACACAACCTGCTCCTGCTCCCTTTCAACCCCATGTCTACCTGACACGCCTTGGCAAGGGGCAGTTGGCCTCCCAGAGACTGCCAGGATTACAGTCAAGAGCTAGCAGCCCCAGCCCTGGTTGGGCAACTGAAGCCTCCTAGGGCCCCACATGGACTGCCTAGGATCAAATGCTACCCCCACCCCTTCCCAGCTTCATTATCTTCAATATTTTCTCACCAGTGAAACAAAGATAATCATAATATCTACTTCGGAATTAGGGGATCACATGCCATGGGCTGCACCTGCTGCTGTAGCATAACAGCACCCCTTTTTGAGTTTCTACACTGTCCAAGGCTGGTTTTGAGGATTAAGTGCAGCTGGGAAGTGCCCACCTGGTGCCTTCTATAGGAAGCCTCCACAAATGCTTATTTTACTACTTGCTTCACTGACTGCTGAGGATGAAGACTTCTATGTGAAGCAGCTGACTCAGGGGCACAGCAGGGTCAGAACCAGTCATGGGAGTAAAGCAGTGCCACCACCATCTGCCTTCCTGGGTCCCTAGCTGTTGGGGAACTAACATAGCCCAGAGCAGTGGATGCTGACCAGGTGCACCGAAAGAACCCAAGTCTGGGACACCTCAGGCCAGAGTGCAGAGCTGCTTAGCGGGGCCCCTTCCCCTCCCCCGGAGTACGCGTTAAGACCTCATGAGGATGTTTATGATTTCTCCCTTTGGGCCAGGCGCACTGGCTCATGCCTGTAATCCCAGCACTTTGGGAGGCTGAGGCAGGCGGATCACGAGGTCAGGAGATCGAGACCATCCTGGCTAACACGGTGAAACCCCATCTCTACTAAAAATACAAAAACAAAATTAGCTGGGTGTGGTGGCAGGTGCCTTTAGTCCGAACCACTTGGGAGGCTGAGGCAGGAGAATGGCGTGAACCTGGGAGGCGGAGTTTGCAGTGAGCCGAGATCGCGCCACCGTACTCCAGCCCGGGCGACTGAGCAAGACTCCGCCTCAAAAAAAAAAAAAACAAAAAAAAAGAAAGATTTAGCCAGCATTGGCTGGGCACGGTGGCTCACGCCTGTAATTCCAGAACTTTGGGACCCCAAGGCGGGCAGATCAAAAGGTCAAGAGATCGAGACCATCCTGGCCAACACGGTGAATTCCTGTCTCCACTAAAAAAAAAATACAAAACATTAGCCGGGCGTGGTGGCAGGTGCCTGTAGTCCAGGTTACTCAGGAGGCTGAGGCAGGAGAATGATGTGAACCCAGGAGGTGGAGCATGCAGTGAGCAGAGATCATGCCACTGCTCTCCAGCCTGGGTGACAGAGCGAGACTCAAAAAAATTAGCCGGAAGGCCGGGCGCGGTGGCTCAAGCCTGTAATCCCAGCACTTTGGGAGGCCGAGACGGGCGGATCACGAGGTCAGGAGATCGAGACCATCCTGGTTAACACGTGACCGTCTACTAAAAATACAAAAACTAGCGGGGGTGCGGCGTGTAGTCCAGCTACCGGGGGGGCGGGAATGGTACCAGGAGGCGGAGCTTGCAGTGAGCTGAGATCCGGCCACTGCACTCCAGCCTGGGTGACAGAGCGAGACTCCGTCTCAAAATAAATAAATAAAAAAAAAATTAGCCAGCATTGGGCCAGGCGCAGTGGTTCACGCCTGTAATCCCAGCACTTTGGGAGGCCGAGGTGGGTGGATCACGAGGTCAGGAGATCAAGACCATCCTGGCTAAGGCTCACATGGTGAAAACCCGTCTCTACTAAAAATACAAAAAAATTAGCCAGGCATAGTGCATAGTGGCGGGTGGCTGTAGTCCCAGCTACTTGGTAGGCTGAAGCAGGTGAATGGTGTGAACCCGGGCGGCGGAGCTTGCAGTGAGTGGAGATCATGCCACTGCTCTCCAGCCTGGGTGACAGAGTGAGACTCTCAAAAAAAAAAAAAAATTAACCAGCATTAGGCCAGGTGCAGTGGCTCACGCCTGTAATCACAGCACTTTGGGAGGCCGAGGTGGGCGGATCACAAGGTCAGGAGATCGAGACCATCCTGGCTAAGGCTCACATGGTGATAACCCGTCTCTACTAAAACTACAAAAAATTAGCCAGGCATAGTGCATAGTGGCGGGTGGCTGTAGTCCCAGCTACTTGGGAGGCTGAGCCAGGAGAATGGCGTGAACCCGGGAGTTGGAGCTTGCAGTGAGCCAGGATCTCACCATTGCACTCCAGCCTGGGCAGCAGAGCGAGACTCCGTCTCAGAAAAAAAAAAAAAAAGAATTAGCCAGCATTGGCTGGGCACAGTGGCTCACATCTGTAATCCCAGCCCCTTGGGAGGCCAAGGCAGGTGGATCACCTGAGGTTGGGAGTTCAAGACCACCCTGGCCAACATGACAAACCCTGTCTCTACTAAAAATACAAAAATTAGCCCAGCGTGGTGGCACGCACCTGTAGTCCCAGCTACTCTGGAGGCTGAGGCAGGAGAATCACTTGAACCCAGGAGGCGCAGTTTGCAGTGACCCAAGAACGAGTCATTGCACTCCAGCCTGGGCAACAGAGTGAGACTCCAACTTTTTTTTTTTTTTTTTTTGAGACGGAGTCTTGCTCTGTCGCCCAGGCTGGAGTGCAGTGGCCGGATCTCAGCTCACTGCAAGCTCCGCCTCCCGGGTTTACACCATTCTCCTGCCTCAGCCTCGCGAGTAGCTGGGACTACAGGCGCCCGCCACCGCGCCCGGCTAGTTTTTTGTATTTTTTAGTAGAGACGGGGTTTCACCATGTTAGCCAGGATGGTCTTGATCTCCTGACCTCGTGATCCGCCCGTCTCGGCCTCCCAAAGTGCCGGGATTACAAGCTTGAGCCACCGCGCCCAGCCGAGACTCCATCTCAAAAAAAATAAATAGCTAAATAATTAGCCAGCATTGTTATGAGTTACAGTCTATTTGCCCGCATGAATAAATAGGTAAATAATTAGCCAGCATTGTTATGAGTTAAAATCTAGTTGCCCACATGACAGAGTGAGACTGTATCAAAAAAATAACTGAATAAAGAATTAGCCAGCATTGTTATGAGTTAAAGTTCATTTGCCCTCATGTTATGTGAGAGCAGCCAAGACTTAAACCTCAGGAAAGGTGGGACAGAACCCCTCCCCCCAGCGTGCCTCCTTGGCCTAGAGATTTAAGTCTTTGTCCCTCACCCTTCCCCAAGCTGACTCAGCCCCTGGAGCAGAGGGCAGACCTGGCTGGGAGTACAAAGGGCAGCTGGGGCACAAGTGGGCAACTGCAGCTGTGGCCTGCAGGGGGTCAGTGGTACACCTGTGCCTGTTTAGCCTCCCGCTCCGGTGGCTGCAGAAGAGCCAGTTTCCTCACACTGTCATCCAGGGTCACAACTGCATCCACTCACAGTGACATCGTCACACCGACCCACCATCTCACACTGTCCCATACACAGTCATACCCACTGATAGACTGCACACGCAGTGGCACGCTCACACCGTCACACGTGCTCTTGTCCATGCGTTTATTCCCATTTCTGGCACAGTGTCCGGAGTCGGCACGGCCAGGGGCAGAATCTCGCAGGAAGTGGAGCTCACAGTGTGGGCAGACAGATAATGACCAATAACGTCAGTACAAGCGCAGCTGAGGCGTTAGGGAGGACCTCCCCGAGGGGCTGAGGCCTGCACAGGAGAGCTGTTGGAGACTTGCCGAGGAGCTTTTCAGCTCTGCATCTTCAGAGCCTCGGGGCGGACCCTTTTGCTCCCGCCCTATCCGGGGGCTGAAGGAGGAGGCGTCCTTAGGGAATGGGACCGTCCTGAGCTCCGGGGGCAGGAGTGGCAGGCCTGTGGTGTGGGGCGGGGCGGGCCGGGCCGGTCAAGGCGGAGCCAGCCAGGAGCTCGCAGCTCACGGGGCGGCGCTGGCTGCGGCGGCCGCTGCCCGGGGGCGGGATCCTGATCTAAGCCTCCAGTAATCCCGCTGAGGCCCGAACCAGAGGCGGGCGGGGACTTCCGCGCCGACGCGGCCGCAAGCGCTGGGACGGCCCTCACTGGCGGTCTTTGGGCTCCGCCCCGACATCCGGCCCCGGACACGTGGTGGGCGGACGGGGGCGGTCCTGAGCCTGCGACCTCGCAGGACCCTAAGTCCAGGCCACAGTCAGGGGCGGGCGCTGGGAGGCGAGCGTGAACTCAGCGACAGGAGAGTGAGGTGGGGTCCCTCAGGAGGGATAGAGACGGGCTCCGTGGCTTGAAAGCTGGGCAATTGGGAGGCGTTGGGTTTTTTCCTGTTGTTGTTTGAGGGATGGGGGAGTACAAGTCTGGGTTCAAACCTCGCTGGGCTACTCTGAGCTGTCCTCGAACCTCTCTGAGCCTCTCGGCTTTCTCCTTTGTAAAGTGGGCATTCTGAGCACAAACTTCATGGGGCTCTTTTGGGGGATTAAATAAAGAAATGTGCTGGAAGCAGACAGCCCAAAGTTGAAACAGAATGGGTGCTCCTTAATGGGAAATCCTACCCCTGTGGGAAATCCGGGAGCCGCCGTAGGGACGGGCTGTGTGCAGGAGCGCACCGCGTCCAGGGGCTGGGAGGGGTAGTTAGCCATTCACTTTGCCCCCAGCTCACCACGCGCAGCGCCATGACCAGCAAGGATCCCGAAGAGGAGCATCCATCAGTGACGCTCTTCCGCCAGTACCTGCGCATCCGCACCGTCCAGCCCAAGCCTGACTATGGTGAGAAGACGGTGGTTCCAGAGCCTGTGACGGGGCCTAACGGACGGAGACTGTGCTCTAAACCAGCCTCCAACACCTGTCACCCAGCTGAGCCCCCCTCTGCTGTCCAAATGGCTCCCCAACCCCTCCAGTCATTGCCCAAGTAAATAGACTGAGGCAGCCCCTCCAGGTTATGGAGGAATCCTTTCCCCAGACGCTCTGCTGCTGCCCAAGGTTACTCATGGCAGCTGGTTAAAGAAAAGCTTCACCTCACTCCCCAGGGCAGGAGTGGTGGGGGAATCCTCAGGCAGCCACAGGGGAAGGAGAAGCCCTTCAGAAGCCCACTGAGGCTGGACAAAGGCCACAGCCCTTAGGGAATCAAGCTTGGTGGTTAGGGCCTGGGAGGTGGCTCCTGCCTTTTATCCCAGCGCTTCAGGAGGTTGAGGCTGGCAGATTGCTTGGGCCCAGGAGTTCAAGACTGGCTTGGGCAACATGGCAAGACTCTGTCTCTACAGAAAAATACAAAAATTAGTTATGAACGGTGGCGCACCTGTAGTCCCAGCTACTCCGGAGGTTGAGGGGGAGGATCACTTGAGCCTGGGAAGTCGAGGTTGCAGTGGAGCCGAGATCGCACCGCTTCACTCCAGCCTTGGTGACAGAGTGAGACCTTGTCCCCCCCCCCAAAAAAAAGGAAGAAAGAAAAAAAAAAAAACTTGGTGACTGGGAATTCTGAACGTGGGCCCAAATTCCTCCTTTGTGATTAATCAGCTGAGACATGGTGGGTGAATCTCTTCATGTCACTGTGCCATAGTTTCCCATATTTAAGGAAGATAACACCTTCCTCCAACGCTGGACGCCCCCTGGCCTTCCAGAAAGGGTCACTGAATAGCCAAAAATATCTTCTTTCTTGGGGATGGAAATGCAAGTGTCTCTGAGGGATATGGAGTGTGTTGGGGAGGCAGCAGCCCATTTCTGGGTGTGCTCCCTTCTCCGGGCTGCCTGGGCTGGTGGGAAGCTGTGAGTAGGCAGAAGCAGCCCCAGACACTCTGTGCCTCCAGGAGCTGCTGTGGCCTTCTTTGAGGAGAGAGCCCGCCAGCTGGGCCTGGGCTGTCAGAAAGTGGAGGTGAGCCTGGGGCCCTAAGCAGGGAAGGGAGGTGGGCCTGGGCACTTCCTCACCCTGCTCAGACCACCTCCCCTCCTGACCATCTCCAGGTGGCACCTGGCTATGTGGTGACCGTGTTGACCTGGCCAGGCACCAACCCTGCACTCTCCTCCATCTTGCTCAACTCCCACACGGATGTGGTGCCTGTCTTCAAGGTGTGTAAGGGCCTGGGGCGGTGGGCATTGCAGACGTGAGGGACAGACATGATGCAGACCCCAGGATCCAGCCTCAGGGAGCGCATGGTCCTGGTCCCAGTCCTGGCACTGACTTTCAACATCCTTATGACGTTATACCACTCAAGCAGCCTTCGTCCAGCAACAAGATCTGGGCCAGAGTGGGGTAGGGACTAGGGGGTGGGAAGCAGGAGACAGTGATGGCGGATGGCAATCAGCTGCCTTCTTCAGCCCCCGTCTTTCCTCCCCCACCACTCCACCTGTCACTCCAACCCTATGGTGGGCTCCTAGGGAAGGGCCACTGTTGACCAGAGTAGATTAATGGCTAAATTGGAGGTTTGGGCCCCTCTTCCCATCCCTGCCCCCAGGAACATTGGAGTCACGACCCCTTTGAGGCCTTCAAGGATTCTGAGGGCTACATCTATGCCAGGGGTGCCCAAGACATGAAGTGCGTCAGCATCCAGTGAGTGTCCTCCATTCCCACTCCTCCACAATGTCCCCACTGGTCTAGTGGATTGACCCAGGACCTGGAGGGGTGATTGGAGAAACTTAAGGCCAAGGGACACCTTGACCCCTTGGACAGGAATTACTTCCATGACCATTGCATCGAAAGGGAGATGCAGCGCAGAGAGGAGCATGGACTTTCTGGAGTCCCTATCAGGGTGTGGCAGGGTAAAGTCCAGGGCACAGGACTCCAGCCTGCTGGCCCTGCCTGCCGGGCCAGCCTGAGCATCTGGTGGCTCCCCCAGCACCTGGCTTATGCCCCCTCAGGTACCTGGAGGCTGTGAGGAGGCTGAAGGTGGAGGGCCACCGGTTCCCCAGAACCATCCACATGACCTTTGTGCCTGGTAGGAGTGGTTCAGATACCTCTGGGAAAGGGGAGGGTGGGGGTGGGGCAGCCTCCTCATCTCATGGCCCTGCTGCTTTTACAGATGAGGAGGTTGGGGGTCACCAAGGCATGGAGCTGTTCGTGCAGCGGCCTGAGTTCCACGCCCTGAGGGCAGGATTTGCCCTGGATGAGGGTGAGCAGGTTGGCAAGCTGATGAGCAGCCAGGCAGGGAGTAGGAGGCTGCTAGTGGGGACTGGGCTGTTCCACCCTCTGAACCCCCTTTCCCTCCTCAGGCATAGCCAACCCCACTGATGCCTTCACAGTCTTTTATAGTGAGCGGAGTCCCTGGTGTAAGTATGAGCTTGGAGGGAGGGCTCACTCTACAGGTGGGAGGCTAGGCCAGAAAGGGCACGGTCCTATGAAGGGTTGCACAGCAAAAGTTGAGGCCTGAGAAGGCCTCGAACTCAGAGCCTCTGCCTCCCAGCTCTTTCCTATCTGAGCTTCCCTGAGGGCAAGCCCTGACTGGGCAGAAACAAGCTCTACGCTATGGGCCCTGAGCGGGGACAGGACCCTGCCAGAGGAGCCTGGAATGAGGGGGAGACCTGGGTCTACCCCAGGGCGGATTGTTTCTCCAGCCCCTCATGCTGAAGACACTCCCTTCCCCCTACACCTCCCCAGGGGTGCGGGTCACCAGCACTGGGAGGCCAGGCCATGGCTCGCTCTTCATCGAGGACACAGCAGCAGAGAAGCTGGTACGTGGCACCCTGGGAGGGAGTCTGGGAGTTCAGGAGGCTCTATCCTGAGACCACTGTCCCATTTAACCTCATGTTCTCGTAGCACAAGGTTGTGAGCTCCATCCTGGCATTCCGGGAGAAGGAATGGCAGAGGTGAGGCAGTCTGGGAAGCGGTGGGGTGGCTCTGGGAGGCGGTACCACAGAGGATACAGTCTGAGCCACCTCTTTTTTTTTTTTTTTTTTTGAGACGGAGTCTTGCTCTGTCGCCCAGGCTGGAGTGCAGTGGCGCGATCTCAGCTCACTGCAAGCTCCGCCTCCCGGGTTCCCGCCATACTCCTGCCTCAGCCTCCTGAGTAGCTGGGACCACAGGCGCCGCCACCTCGCCCGGCTAATTTTTTGTGTTTTTAGTAGAGATGGGGTTTCGCCGTGTTAGCCAGGATGGTCTCGATATCCTGACCTTGTGATCCGCCCGTCTCGGCCTCCCAAAGTGCTGGGATTACAGGCGTGAGCCACCGCGCCGGGCCTGAGCCACCTCTTTTATCTGTTGCTGCTGCTTCCCTGTCCCCACACCACAGGCTGCAGTCAAACCCCCACCTGAAAGAGGGGGCTGTGACGTCCGTGAACCTGACTAAGCTAGAGGGTGGCGTGGCCTATAACGTGGTACCTGCCACCATGAGCGCCAGCTTTGACTTCCGTGTGGCACCGGATGTGGACTTCAAGGTGCCACCTCCACCTGGGTTTGGAGGAAGGATCCTGGGTCCTCAGTCTTGTCCTAGAGGCCTCTGGAAAGCCTGAGGGATCAGCTCATCTTCCTTCTCTTAGGCTTTTGAGGAGCAGCTGCAGAGCTGGTGCCAGGCAGCTGGCGAGGGGGTCACCTTAGAGTTTGCTCAGGTATGGACTTGGGACATGTGATGGAAGAGTGTGGGAGCTGGGGGAGACCCAACTGTGCAACAGTGGAGTGTGTGCTTGGTGTGTCTGCATATGTCTAGGCATTTCTTTATCTATGATAGACACATTTTATTCCAACAAGCATTAGTTTGTAGATGCTACTGTGGGTGCTGGGGAATGCTGTGGGGAATAAAATTAGGCACAGTTCACGCCCCTGTATGGTGAAACAGGGAAATATAAATCAAACATTTATATGATATTACTTTTTTCTGAGAGAGTCTCACTCCGTCACCCAGGCTGCAGTGCAGTGGCACAATCTGGGCTCACCTCCGCCTCCCGGGTTCAAGCAATTCTCGTGCCTCAGCCTCCAGAGTAGCTGGGATTACAGGCACCTGCCACCACACCCAGCTAATTTTTGCATTTTTAGTAGAGACAGGGTTTCACCGTGTTGGCCAGGGTTGTCTCGAACTCCTGGCCTCCAGTGGTCCACCCACCTTGGCCTCGCAAAGTACTGGGATTACAGGCATGAGCCACTGTGCGCAGCCGTACTTTTATATAATACATGTGGTACAGAAAAGCGTGGCCCCTTGCACTCTGAAAACCTCTAACTGGAGTATCCAACTAGTCTGAGGTCTGGGGGAGCCATCTTGAGGAAGGGGCACTTGGGGTAGGATCTGAAGGATGGCCCAGGAGGTAAGTAGATGGAGGGTGGGAACATCCCAGACCTAGGACATTTGAGGGGCTGAAAGAGGATCTGTGGCCGGACTGGCCACCCAGATGTCTGGGTAGGTGAAGGAGTGGGGGTGGGGAGGTGTTCTGTGCCAGGCACAGCCCACTCTATGGGAAATAGGGCAACATGCCCAGGCCCATGTCCTGATCCTGCCATCCTTCCCATCCCTCAGAAGTGGATGCACCCCCAAGTGACACCTACTGATGACTCAAACCCCTGGTGGGCAGCTTTTAGCCGGGTCTGCAAGGACATGTGAGCACACTGGCCAGCTCTCCTCACAGCCCAGCCCCCTGCTCCTCTCCTTCCTGCTGCCCCCTCCCTTCTCCTGCCTCTCTCCCACCTTCCCTTGCCCCTTCAATTCTTCCCTTTCTCCCTCTCCATTCATCAGGCTCTTTCTCCTATAGGAACCTCTCTCTGGAGCCTGAGATCATGCCTGCTGCCACTGACAGCCGCTATATCCGTGCGGTGAGCCACTTGCATGGAGTGCCTGGGCAGTGGACTGGGCCTGAGGCTGCCTTTCCCTTAATGGCTCCTCCTCGCCCCTGCAGGTGGGGGTCCCAGCTCTAGGCTTCTCACCCTTGAACCGCACACCTGTGCTACTGCACGACCACGATGAACGGCTGCATGAGGCTGTGTTCCTCCGTGGGGTGGACATATATACACGCCTGCTGCCTGCCCTTGCCAGTGTGCCTGCCCTGCCCAGTGAGAGCTGAGCCCTGGAACTCCTCAACCTTTGCCCCTGGGGCTTCCATCACAACCAGTGCCAAGGACCTCCTCTTCCCCCTTCCAAATAATAAAGTCTATGGACAGGGCTGTCTCTGAATTACTAACAGCAAGGCACTCGTGGAGCAAGAATTTTCCTTTCCTTGGGGACATGTTACCATTTCCATTTCACAGATGAGGAAACTGAGCCTGGCTGTGAGCACCTCCCCACTACCCCACACTGCTCCGTGCGCCTTGATACAGCACACCCATTCAGTACCATCCAGCCATGTCTGTGCCTAGCAAGAAAGGGCCACAGTTCCTATTTCAGTGGCCACCATACTTAGTTCTGACCTGTCAGGGATTCCGTTCCCATCGAAGGGGGATACTAAGGACCTCAGGAACCACTCCTATCTTCCTGGGTGTACATCTGGGATCCTAAGACAGGACCAGAATAGTACCAGCTGGGCCCCTGCCAGATGAGGGGCAGGCAGAGGGCCAACGGTGACTGCTGCCTCTTGTCAAAACCTGTACACCGTTGTATTGGCAGCAGGGGCCACAGAGGGGCAGGGGCCCTGGTAAACTAGGTCCATTCATCTTAGGGGCCTCAGCACCCTGGGTCTGTGTGTGCATAGGCCTAGGAAGTGGGTTTCCATGTCAGCCTTGCTAGGACCCCAGGCTTTACCACGAGTAAACTAGTAAACTATGGCCCCAAGAGCAGAGCCTGATCTAGCGAGATCTGCTCTATCCTGTTCTGACTTCCTTGAGCATGGGGCAGGGGAGATGGGTGGGTTGGGGTGGTTGGATTTTTTGATTCTAGTTGTAGCCAGAAGAGAAGTCCAGAGCCTGGCTGCAGACTGCAGGCTTAGTACTAATAGAAATAACAATGACTCCTGCTCACAGTTGACAAGGAGCCAGGACTTAGACTGTTTTTTTTTTTTTTTTTTTTTTTTTTGAGGCGGAGTCTTGCTCTGTCGCCCAGGCTGGAGTGCAGTGGCGCGACCTCGGCTCACTGCAAGCTCCATCTCCTGGGTTCACGCCATTCTGCCTCAGCCTCCTAAGTAGCTGGGACTAAGGCCCCCGCCACCACACCCAGCTTACTTTTTGTATTTTTAGTAGAGATGGGGTTTCACATCTGCCTCCCGGGTTCAAGGGATTCTCCTGCCTCAGCCTCCCAAGTAGCTGGGACTACATGTCCACGCCACCACGCCTGGCTAATTTTTTTATTTTTAGTAGAGACAGGGTTTCACCAAGTTGAGCAGGATGTTTTCAATCTCTTGTCCTCAGGGGATCTGCCCGCCTCGGCCTCCCAAAGTGCTGCGTTTACAGGCGTGAGCCACCGTACCCGGCCTAGACTGGCTTACTTTACATTGAACCCGTACAGAAGTCTTGTGATGGATGCCAGGTCCCACTAGCAATGCAGAAACAGGTTTCACTGGCCAGGGGCAGTGGCTCATGCCTGTAATCCTAACACTTTGGGAGGCTGAGGCGGGCGGACTGCCTGAGCTCAGGAGTTCAAGACCCAGCATGGGCAACATGGCAAAACCCCATGTCTACCGAAAATACAAAAAAATTAGCCAGGTGTGGTGGCATGTGCCTATAGTCAGGAGGCTGATTCTAGAGAATGGTCTGAACCCAGGGGATGGAGGTTGCAGTGAGCCGAGACCACGCCACTGCATTCCAGCCTGGACGACAGAGCGAGACTCTCTCAAAAGAATAAAGAAACATGTTCCACTAGCATAGTTTGCCCTAGACGACAGAGCTTGGAGGTGCATGAGTCGAGACTCAAGAACTGGAAATTTGTGCTTCCTGAGCACAAGGCAGATTCCATGTACAAGCTGGAGGCTGAAGGCAGCAGCTGGGTGTGATCTTAAGCCCAGTTGAAGCCCTGACCTGGCCTCCCCCTCAGACTGGCACTTGGTAAAGGGATCACTTTTTTCATGGCAGGAACACTTGGGACCTCACTTTGGAAGTCATCAACTTGGTGGCCTGTCTGGGCCAAACCACCTTCAGAACACAACCTGCTCCTGCTCCCTTTCAACCCCATGTCTACCTGACACGCCTTGGCAAGGGGCAGTTGGCCTCCCAGAGACTGCCAGGATTACAGTCAAGAGCTAGCAGCCCCAGCCCTGGTTGGGCAACTGAAGCCTCCTAGGGCCCCACATGGACTGCCTAGGACCAAATGCTACCCCCACCCCTTCCCAGCTTCATTATCTTCAATATTTTCTCACCAGTGAAACAAAGATAATCATAATATCTACTTCGGAATTAGGGGATCACATGCCATGGGCTGCACCTGCTGCTGTAGCATAACAGCACCCCTTTTTGAGTTTCTACACTGTCCAAGGCTGGTTTTGAGGATTAAGTGCAGCTGGGAAGTGCCCACCTGGTGCCTTCTATAGGAAGCCTCCACAAATGCTTATTTTACTACTTGCTTCACTGACTGCTGAGGATGAAGAGTTCTTTTTTTTTTTTTTGAGACGGAGTCTTGCTCTGTAGCCAGGGCTGGAGTGCAGTGGCCGGATCTCACCTCACTGCAAGCTCCGCCTCCCGGGTTTGCGCCATTCTCCTGCCTCAGCCTCCTGAGTAGCTGGGACTACAGGCGCCCGCCACCTCGCCCGGCTAGTTTTTTGTATTTTTAGTAGAGACGGGGTTTCACCGTGTTAGCCAGGGTGGTCTCCATCTCCTGACCTCGTGATCCGCCCGTCTCGGCTTCCCAAAGTGCTGGGATTACAGGCTTGAACCACCGCGCCCGGCCGAGGATGAAGACTTCTATGTGAAGCAGCTGACTCAGGGGCACAGCAGGGTCAGAACCAGTCATGGGAGTAAAGCAGTGCCACCACCATCTGCCTTCCTGGGTCCCTAGCTGTTGGGGAACTAACATAGCCCAGAGCAGTGGATGCTGACCAGGTGCACCGAAAGAACCCAAGTCTGGGACACCTCAGGCCAGAGTGCAGAGCTGCTCAGCGGGGCCCCTTCCCCTCCCTCGGAGTACTCGTTAAGACCTCATGAGGATGTTTATGATTTCTCCCTTTGGGCCAGGCGCACTGGCTCATGCCTGTAATCCCAGCACTTTGGGAGGCTGAGGCAGGCGGATCACGAGGTCAGGAGATCGAGACCATCCTGGCTAACACGGTGAAACCCCATCTCTACTAAAAATACAAAAACAAAATTAGCTGGGTGTGGTGGCAGGTGCCTTTAGTCTGAACCACTTGGGAGGCTGAGGCAGGAGAATGGCGTGAACTGAGTCGGCGGAGCTTGCAGTGAGGTGAGATGGCGTCACTGCAGTCCATCCTGGATGAGAGGAGACTGTCTCAAAAAAAAAAAATTACTCCCTTTGCTCGGCAACTTACACAGTCCAGCAAGCAATGTGCCCGAGCTTCCCCAAAGCCCTCAATCATTTCTCATTCATTAGGTCCTCCTCTTGCACTACACGGCCCCATCTCCTGACTCTCACCCACCCCCCACCACCCACAGACTCATGTCTTCTCCCACACCAACAAATGGAGCAACCAAACCCAGTCCCAGGATCATAGACAGAGGCTAACAAATCCTGCCTCAGTTTTATTTGTACAAATAGCACAGGAGGACCCCAGCCCCATGCAGATGGCAGCCCAGAGGTGGGGGTGGGGGGTCGCACCAGTCCTTCTGTCCTCACGTTGGCAGACAGAGATACCTACTCTGTAGCCTTTGTAGTGGCCTGGGCACCTTTGGGAGCCTGAGCTGGAATTGAAGCTGGAGCTGCAGCCTGGGCCTTGGTTTGATCCTTGGCCTTGGCCTTGGCCTTTGGCCGGCACAGCCGGAGCCCCTTGGCAATGCGAGCACGAGCACGCTTCCCAAGCTTGGGGTGGGCAATGTAGGCAAGTCGATCAAGCTTGCGGCTGACACCCTTTGGGATCTTGGGCTTAACCTCCTTGGGCTTTACGAGGGCCTTGACAGCCTCGGCACGTGCACTCATGGCCTTGGCATTGTTGGCCTGCATCTTCTTTAGGCCCTTCTTGTTGTGCTTCTTGGCAAAGCGCATGTTCCTCAGGAACTTGGGGTCCACCTGAAAAGCAGGAAAGGTACAGGTGGCAGCATGTGGGTCCCCAAGTCTCTCACTGATGCCTCTCTCCATAGGGGTACCCAGTATTCTAAAGACAGCATCAAGTCAACCTCAAATGTGGAAATACCCAACCTCTTGAAACTATTTCCAGAAAAAGGGTACCACCACCCCAGGGAGCCGATACTCCACCTGGGTAATGCTGTACAGACCTCCTTCAAGAACAAAATTACAAGCCGCTTTGCTGCCCTGTCTGCCAAGGTTGCGGGGTTTCAACTTCTTACAGCAAGGGTTCCACCAAGTTTCTTCCTGACATCCCCTCAGGGACACCCCTGCTCCCATCTTTAGAAGAAGGTGTCAATTAAATACCAAGTCTGGTCCAAAAGACTTATAGCTGAGGCAGAATATGGGGAAACCGAGGCACAGAGTTTGTGATTTTTTTTTTTTTTTTTGAGACGGAGTCTTGCTCAGACGCCCAGGCTGGAGTGTGGTGGCGCGATCTCGGCTCACTGCAAGCTCCGCCTCCCGGGTTCACGCAATTCTCCTGCCTCAGCCTCCCAAGTAGCTGGGACTACAGGCGTCCGCCACCACACCCAGCTAATTTTTTGGTCATTTTTAGTAGAGACAGGGTTTCACCGTGTTAGCCAGGATGGTCTCAATCTCCTGACCTCGTGATCCACCCGTCTCAGCCTCCCAAAGTACTGGGATTACAGGCGTGAGCCACCATGCCCGGCCAGAGTTTGTGATTTACTCCACAGAACACAGAGAAAAAGGGGAGGAACAGACTGGGGACACGCTCAGCCATCCCCTAGACCCTCCCGCCTTCTTGGCTAATTCTTAGAACTCCCTGACACAGGAAGAGAAGCTGACCCCAAGTACAGCACTGGGTCAGATCGAGGTCATAAGGCTGGTCAGTGTGGGAATGTGCCCTGAACACACTCAGACAAGGCCACTCCTTACCCTAAGTGCCACTGCCAAGCAAGGGAGATGGCCAGGAGCAGGTTACGCCCTGACCAGAGGGTTACACTTCAGGCTGGGGAAGACCAAGGAAAGTTTTATTATGGGTCTGGTAGGGTAGAAAAAGGAATTGCA